TGTGAATGGTAAAAAAAAAAAATGTTTCATAGTTCAATGATCTATTAAATATTTTTAAGTTTGGAGACCTATTAAATATATAATTGAAAGTTTTAAAACTTTGTAGACGCATTTCAAAATTCATTCATATAATAGACACTTTTTGAATGTTCAAGTTCCCATTGAATACTACACTAACCATTTAAATGTTTAACATACAATTGTTCTCATTTAAAATGAAACATACGGGGCTCTTTGGCTACATTCTCTATTTTTTATTTCTCATTTATTATTTTTAATAAATAAAAATATAATTGCATTTGGTAACTATTTTTCGTTTCTCGTTTTTTATTGAAAAAAAATATATATAGAAACACGTTTGTTAAAAAAATTTATTGTTTCTAGTTATCTCTAAAATTTTAAATATAAAAATTTATTTTAAAACTTTTAAGTTATATTTACTTTTTTTAATATGTATTATGCAATTGATGAGTCAAAAATGTTACAATAATAATTCATTTGCAAAAAAGAAATACAATAATAATTTTATTTATGTTTTTGAAAAAACTAGACACAAAAATGAAAAAATTAAGAACCCATTTGATAACCCTTTTAGTTTTTAGTTTTTGGGTTTTGGTTATATTTGTTTGATAACCATTTTTAGTTTTTTGTTTCTAAAAAGTTAGAAAATTGAAAATACATATCAGAGATATAAAATTTTATGTAGAGTACAGATGACAATGATGTGGGTGCGAGTGAGGATGTTCTCTTCCATTCTCGTCATCGTGAAAATTTGTAGTYTCCGTCTCCACCTCGTTATTAGGTCCGACAGATCTTCTCGAGAAAAATTATCGGTTTATAATTGTTTTTAATCATTTTTAGAATTTAAGTATAAAAAGTGTAATAAATATATATTAATTATTCAAAAAATGGAATCGGAGATGGGAACATGCATTTCCTATTTTTGGGACCCGATCATTTGGAAATTTTTGTGTTCCCCCTAATGTAGAGACATGAAAATAATTTTAGAGAAAAAGAATAAAGTCGAAAGGAAAAGATATGTTAAAGAAAAAAAATAAATTATAACAAAAGAGAAAAATTATAGTGGAAACAAATTTAAAAATTAAAAAGTTAGGAAAAATAGTAAATTTTTAGAAAGAAATAAAACTGGTCTGTTAGAAAAAACAACAAAAAAATTTTGGAGACAAATAATAATAATTATTCAAAATATGAAAATTTTAGAGAGAGAAAAATAAAGTTTGTAAGGAGTAATTTTAGAAATAAAAAATTTTAGAGTGATAAATAATTTTTTTAGAGATAAATATGAAAAAGAAAAAAAAATTGAATATAGAAGAAAAATCAGATTTTGAAATGGAATAAAGATATCTCAACCACCCAAGTAAAGAACTGTTACAAATAAGGTAGAAACTAATAGATTTAGATACGAAGCAACATAAAATAAACCAAATTTGATACTCGGATACTCGATTTGATAACACGCTACTAATTCTTCTTATGCTTCTGGTAAATAAAAAGGTAATCTCTCGCATTTTGCTAAGGAAGAAATTAGAAAAATAACAAACCCTATAGGTTCGCCACAAATTCCACCCCCAAAAACCATATTTTGATTGAGCCTCACCTATATCAATTGTACTTGAACTGTTAGATAATCATAGTCGACAATAACATCATTGTTCTCATCGCTATTACAGAACCGTACATGAGATTTTCACCTCATACGGCTCCTTGAGGGCCATAAATAAATCTAAGGAGCGTTTTTGAAAACTTTTTTTTTTTAATTTACATAGAATTTCAAAATGGTTTCTGAAAAACAAAAGAAAAAACAGAAAATTGAATTGAATATCAAACATATTTTTTAAAAACTAAAAACCAAAAACCAAATGGTTATGATCCTAAAATATTGTTTCCAAAATTTCAATATCATTTTAAAAATATTTCTTAAAAATAAGAAACCAGAAATAAAAATAATTATCAAATTGCTTGAAAATGAGCCATGTGATTATTTAAAACTAGTGGGGCTAATTTATTTGGAAAACATCGAAACCAAGAGAACTTTAAAGAGAGCCTGGGACTCCCTCCAATGCCCCATACTAATTTCCAACGAATGTATTCATAGAATGAAACTATAAAATAGTGGTCCTAATATTAGTGAAATTGTTTACATGCAAGTTGCAACCAGCACATCCTTAATTTTACCAACATTCTTCTAAATAGTATTATGACGAAAAAAAGAATCGACCGTTTAAGTATTAAAAATTGCACTTATTTATATATATATGTAAACATTCCACTAAATAGAATGTCTTCTTTAAAGACATTTTTTTTATATTCAATATTTTATTTTTATACGTGTCACTTATCTTTCAATTTCGATACACTTCATCTTCAAATATCTTTTTTCACTTTCGAATTAGTTATAAAAAGAAAAATATTTTTCTATTTTTTAATTTTAATATTAGTTATAAAGTTCATATGTGGATTTCATGTTTGATGTATCGTAACCTATGTCGTTGTAAATAAAATTCCATTTCTAGGCAATTTTATGTTTTGTCGTTTTAAATTTTATTTTAACTTATGATTTTAAAACCCATTTTTTTGTTATTTTTTTGAATTTGATTGAAATTTCGAGAATGTGATTGATTTTATTTTTAGAAAATTCATATTGTTTAAATTTTAATAAATGCAATGAAGTAAGTCAGATAAAAGTTCTCAAACTATTCTATATTTCAATATAATAACTTTTAAATACAATAAATACGTTATTTTTGAAGAATAAATACATTATTATTACATGTAACATTTTTTTTACCGTAAACCTTCCCCCAGCTGGAGTGGTTGCATGTATGTTGAAATACTTGCCAAAAAAACAAATATGATAATAATAAAATAATAATAATAGATAAATAAATAAAACCCTCTATTATATGTAATTTATCTATTGTTTTTATTAACCGAGTACGGTAAAAATATCTATGAATTATTAATTATGCCCTTAAAATAGCCCCTCATATATGCATTTTTTTTTTTTGAGATACCTTATATATGTAGTTGGAAGTCCTAGTTTACTCTGACCAAATAATTTTTTCCTTTTATATAAGAAGAATTGGAAAATTGGAAAATTAATTAATTTAAATACATTTTTTTAACGAAAAATAAGCAAAATGAAAAATAATGGCTGAAATACAATTATACAAGGTCAAAGTTCCGAAAGCTATATGTGTATAAATATCATAGAAAATGTAAATTAATAAAAGGAAAGAAATAATGAAAGTGGAATACAGCTTTCATTTGGCATCATTCACAAGATTCATTTCAACTCATACTACAGATATATATAAGATATTTTATTTCGTTGGTTGTTATTTATTTAAATTAGTTATTCGATATATTGTTTAATAAACTTTGAGAACAACTTTATAGAATTATTGCTTTTAAAATATTATATTTTTGTGTGCTTCAATCATTGTCCATCGGATCATGTTGCCCAATAAAATATAATTTTCAAATAGTTTGGAAAATGCACAGTCGTGCTAAAGAATACGGTAGAGAGAGACAATTAAAAGGAAAACAACGTTCAACTATATTCTTATTAATTCTGAAAAAGAAAAAAAAATTAAAGACTTAAGATTTTAACAAGTTTGGATTTTTGTAGTTTAAATTATTGTAAATGAACCCATTATACAAATTTTAGTTTAGTTAGTATATATATCTTCACCAAAAGATCGTTGTTCGAATGTCCACTATCACATCTTGTTATATCGAATAAAAAAATCTCAAACTCATATTTCGTTTAACCAATGATCAAACAAGTACTTTAGTTTTTCTCATTTTCAAATGTTACGTAGTTAACTAATAGGTTGAACCAATACCTCGAGTCACGGGCTTATAACATATAATTTCATAAATGTTAATTTACCAGTCTCCAAACTATACAGACTTGACATATCCAACAAAAATTCCATAATTAATTTTATGAGGTGCAATATAAAACAATTGAACATCCTTAATTGCTTGACTTGTCTCTATTGTATAAAACCATATGACCTGCAACTTAAATTAAGAATCTCATCCCTTGATTTAATGACATGTTGCCACCTACACTCAATGCATCAATCTATTTGAATAATAATCTTCCATCCTTGTGAACATGGATATTAAATATTCCATACGTATGGATAATTTTTTGTCAAACCGAGCATAACTTAAATGGTTAAGGTACCTATTTTTGACCAAAATGTCATGAGTTAGAATCCTCATCCCATCTTGTATTTAAAAAAAAAATGATAATTTTTTAAAGTTAAATTAGATCGGTATCTGCTATATATAAATAAATAGTCATATTATCTCTACATGTTAAAGTCATCCAGATCACCAAACGTGGGGCCATAAATATATTGTAATGTTTTAAAAGTATAGTGTATATATGTACTAACTATTTTGTTTCAACTTTTTCTTTTCATGTATTGCGTCCGATGTTTGAAATTCTAAAATAAATTATCGTATTTTCTTTTCTCATTGAATTACTTTTCAAGCAATTCTATAGAATATTTTATATACATGAGATTTTTATTTGTATATTTCTTAAAATATTTTTGGTCTCTCAAAGTACATTACGAACATAGATGAAAGGTGTATTTTGCTTAAATATTTTCTAGAAATTTAACAAAAATCATTATTATTATTAAAAGGTCAAAGAAATCCGGTGAGAAAAATAAAAATAGAAATACGAAAAATGCCCGTAATCGTGAATTATCATGACATGGCAAGATCTCCATAATCAAGCGTACGGTAGATTAAATATAGTTAACCGCAGCGGATTATTTTAACCAAGGTTAATTACGTAACTTCAACCGGGTTCGCATAAACTAAACACGGCGAAGGCATCCACGTGCTGCGAAACCATTGGTCAAGTACTTTTAAAAGCAGTTTTTTCCCTCCGTTTTTGTCCTGATATAATGAAAAAGAAACGAATAAAGAAAAAAAAAAAAATTCATCTTCATTGTCGCCGTTTCTCACTTCCAACTCGTATAGCTGAATCTGACCTTCCCCATTAATGGCTACCATACGGCTCATATATCTACTCTCCATTTTTTATTTACCTTTTGATTCTCTTTTCTTTCTCTTCTTTATATAATTCTCTCTGTGCAAATTTCTTCCAAATTTCATCGACGATGGCTGCCGAGTTTTCCAACTGCGTCGAGTACGGTCTCCATTTATCGAAGCGAATTTACTATGGAAAAGGATCGGCTCCGGCGGCTCTCGCGAGGCAGATGACCAGAGTGTCGGAGGACTACCTTCCTACGGCTCCTATGGTGTACGCAGTCGTACCGGAGCCGACGATTGTGGACAATCCGGATGTTCCGAGCTACCAGCCTTACGTGCACGGGCGTTGCGTACCGCCTGCGTTGATTCCGCTGCATATGAACGGAGTTGCAATGGAAATCGATTGCTGTTTCGATACTGCGTTCATTGGTGTTAGCGGAACGTGGCGCGTCCACTGCGTCATGGCCGGCAAAGGCTGTGAGTGTCTTATCGCGGTGCCGATGGGAGAGCAGGTAGCGAGATTTTCTCCATTATATTCTGAACGTTGATTTATTGGTTTTGGTCGTACTGGTCAATCTGTTCTGATTCATCGCGCGAATGGTAGAGATTATTTGGAAAATGCTCTGTTATGTTTTGCATTCTGAAATCGATTTGGAGTTTGAATCGACGTGAAGTTTCAATTTAATTCCAATAGTATTTTAATTGAGCTTCAACAAGGTAAACTAATCACTTAGAACTTAACAGAGCTTCTCTTCGTTGATCGTGTTACAGAAAGTATGATAAAGAGTGGTCGATTGTTTTATTCTTCCTCCAATTTCTCGGGACTTGCGTTTCTGTCCCTTGAGAAGCTGCACAAGTCCCTTTCCTTCAACATTCCATTTTTGTTTTTCGTTCTGAAGAAAAACATTGTGGCTAACAGGGTTCACTTCTAGGTGTTGAAGTTGATGTTACTGGAAGTTCACATCGCACTGAATTAGTCTCCATGGAAGATCTGGAAGCTATAGAGAAGCTGGCAAAATCTGAAGATGGAAGGTTTCTGAAAGGGCGCCGGATATACACATTAAAAATTCCCAAGGTTACATCGATTTAATCTTCGTTTAAATTTTTTCTTCATGATTTCCTGTTCATTCTACATCGGGTAAATAAGGTATAATTGCGCGCCAGGTCGATGGTGGCTGTACTGTTTCAGTCCGAATCAATTGGTCACAGAGAATACCATACCTCGACAATCTCTTCTGTCTCAGCGTACCTTTCAATTTTCCAGCTTACGTAGATTCTCCTGGGAAGAAAATCAAGAAGAATCAAAAGATCTTACTGAATATAAATTCCGGTACTTCGTCAGAAGTTGTATGTAAATATACTAGCCATCCGATGAAGGTAAATCATCAGTTTTAATAGATAATACTAATTTCAGAGTTTACCTAATATGACCGTATCTTTAATATCTTCAAGATTCTAAGACGCGAAGTTGGCAACTTAAGTTTCTCGAACGAAGCAGAGGTCTCAACATGGTCAACTATGGATTTCGATCTTTCGTACTCTGTAAGAATCAAGCCTTTGTATTTCTTACGAAAAAACTGGAAGAATTTTTGGTTTTGAGAGAATGCAAAACTTCACCAGTTGCTAAATATGCTGCATGCTAAAATTAGTTTCTACTTTCTACCCTATTGGCAGATTTCTCCCAGTGACTTGTTTGGTGGTGTGCTGCTGCAATCGCCGTCTCTTCATGATTTTGATCAAAGAGAAATGTTTTGTCTGTACGTTTTTCCCGGCCAGAACCAGGATCGAAAGGTTTGTTAGCATCTGCATCTTCTTTATCCCAATAATATTCTCCAGTAAAACTTAGTTATCTGGCATTATTTTCTTAGTTCATCGTAAACAGTTTCAATTATTTACTTGATTAATACTTTGCATTTGATCACAACTTCCGGTCTATGAACAAATTAAAACGCATTATAACTCTTCCAGCTAGGATCTAGGCCGGGCCCTTCTCTTTTTTGTTAGTTGACAATTTATTTCTGTGTCATTGGTAGGTCCTGTCTCCTGTGTTAATGTCTCTCTGTTGCTTTATTAGGTTTTCAGAAAGGAAGTAGTATTTATTATTGACATAAGCGGAAGCATGAAAGGTGGTCCTCTCGAGAGTACAAAGCATGCGGTGCTCGCATCACTTTCTGAGTTGGGTCCTGAAGATACTTTTAACATAATAGGGTTTAATGGAGACACTAAATTATTTTCATTATCAATGGAGCAAGCAACCAACGAAGCAATTACAAGGGCAACAGAGTGGATTGACGCTAATCTAGTTGCTAATGGTGGTACTAACATCCTGCTTCCCGTGGAACAGGTAATAACATTTGAAATGTGGGGTAGACGTTAAATGTTACAAATAATTTTCTAATAAGTTCTTCAGAAATTGTTATGAATGAAATTTCAGCTGCACATGAGTTTTTTGGTTTACAGTGTTGTTCTATTACAGGCTATAAACATGTTGGCTGAAACCGGCAATTCCATTCCCCTCATTTTTCTCATTACCGATGGTTCTGTTGATAATGAGAGAGATATATGCAATCTTGTGAAAGCTTCTTTGAAGAGTGGAAAGACAATCTGTCCTCGTTTGTGCACTTTTGGTATTGGTAAGAACTTGCTATTCCACTTATATAGTTCTTTCAAGAAACACGACATCCTGAGTATATAGTCTTAATTTGGAAATAAATCCCAATTGAATCTAATCGATGACTGCTTTAATTCGCCACCAAACATTTTGTCAGAGAAGACCCACCAAGTGAATCTAATCGATGACTGCTTTAATTCTAAGTCCGGTCTTACAGTGGCGTTTGACAATCTCAGGGCAGGGCCCTGTAATGTAACTGTTGTTAAATTTACTGGACTATTTTGATTCTAACATTCATTTAATAATTTGGGGAAGAACATCGGAACAAATATGAGGCACGTCAATTCACCGCAATATCATTGCAGCTGCTTTTTAATCGCACGTCTTCTTAGGACAGTTGCATTTATATCGTGTGCCACCTTCTCATTTTTCCACTGTTAGGTAGTCAAAGTTTCGCCTTTATTATTTACTAGAGACCCGATAGAACAGATTGTAGTACTGATGATATTTGAACTTTCGACTAACTGTGAGATTTTTTTTTAGAATTATCATTTTATGGTTTCCTTCCGCTCATCAACTGCTTCCGCCACTTAATTTGGCTTATTTAAAATGTGAACAGTTTCTTCCATTGGATCTGAAATTTTCCGTTTATTGATGTTTAAAGCTTTCCACAGGTACATTTTGTAACCACTACTTCTTACAGATGCTATCAGAAATTGGGAGGGGGATTTACGATGCCGCTTATGATGTAGGTGAATATCTCTTCCTCTGTCTTGGTTTGATGTTAATGATGGAAAATATTTACCACAGCCTTCCATTGTTCTTGTGGTACTCTTGTATTTGTCTAGTACAAAAGAAATAAAATTGGGTTCCATACTAATAGGTAAAATTTCCTATTGATCATTTGGAGGTAGAATGTTGTCATGGACTAAATATCATACTCCATATGAATAAAACCAAAGTAGCAGCTTCATACTTAATATTGTTTAATTAGATGATAACCCAAACAAAAAGCCTTCGTGATCAGATTCCCAAAATAAAATCTTGTTATAGAGGTTATATAATCAACTGTTTTTTAAGTCGTTCATCCATCTAAATTTTAGGTTCATTTTCTTCATCTTTTGTACACTATATTGAGAATCAATTTTTACAAAATATTCACTGTTTTTCCAGATTCGGTTGATTCTCGGTTCCAGAGATTATTCAAAAAAGCCTCATCGCTCATTCTCGCCAACATCACCGTGGATGCTTTCAAGCATCTTGCTTCCCTTGAGGTTTACAATTCTTAAGCAACTCCTTTCTGTTGTCCGTTGCACACTTTCTAGAGTCGTTATCTTTCTTCCACAATAAACACTGCTCTCTAATCTCCTGACAAATCTTGACATTCCTTTCGAACATGATGCTGTTGTGTAGTTGTTTCCAACTCAAGTTCCAGACCTTGCATGTGGAAGCCCATTGATAATATCGGGTCGATACAATGGAAGCTTTCCAGAATCTTTTAAAATTAGTGGCATCTCAGCAGATATGAGCAACTCCACAATCCATCTGAAAGCTCAAAGAGCGAAAGAACTGCTCCTTGATAGGGTACTGCTTCTTCCTAGCTTCCTGCAACCTACATATACTATTTTTTAATGAATTGTTACAATGGGTGATCAACCATGAATCCCTTCCTTCGGTCCGGGATAGAATTTGGTAATTTTATTAGAAAAACGAAAAATTGTCTCCCATCAATAAGTAGGAGCCCTTATTATTTATTATTTTCTGATGTGGCTTATTTCAGTGGTTTGAAATATGTTCAACTCAAGAAATATCTATGTACAATTATATGATATTAAGGAGGAAGTTTCTCCTTTTTTAACTTTAAGGTGTCAAGTTTTTCTACGATTAATAGAAATAAAACCAGACGTCTAACTGTAAAAATCGTTTATTTCCAACGCAGGTGCTTGCGAGAAGACAAATCGATATAACGACTTCACATGCATGGTTACATGAAAGCAAGGAGTTAGAAGATAAGGTTTGTCGCTTTAACTTGGCCGTTTCTTGTTGATCCCATCAGCCTTTTCTACGATGGTTCGGTATGTATTATTCAAACTAACGTTAGTTTGTCTAATCCCCGCTTAATTCTGTTTAATTTTGCCTCTTCCAGGTTACAAAAATTAGCAAACAAACTGGGTTTCCGTCCGAGTATACTCGCTTGATTCTAATACAGACCAACGAAGGGAAGAAAGCACCAGCCTCCACTATCGTACAAGAGGTAAGAATTTTTAATCTTATATATTTATTTTTAACAATCCCTCACTCATCGGTATAGGTTTAGTCTTAAGTTCAAGAGCGGGTTGTGTCCTCTTCAACATTTCGATCACTACTTCCTTGCCAGCCGAACCTTCCAGCCGAGCAAATTCCAATGAACATTTACCTTTCGTTTGTAACGTGCACTTTTTTGTTTGTTTGGATCCTTCAAACATCGAGTGAAAGTCAATGCGTTTGTTCAAATCAAGCAGCTTTTTTTTCTTTTATTTTAAGGAGGGCTTTCTAAAAAGGGCTTGGGACCTCTGAACAAAAGAAAGCCAACTGCCCCAATTCGACCTTCCACCCCGATGCATGGCAAACATACCTCGGAGACGAACTCTCTGTGTGGAGACATCCATGGGCCGGAAGGAAATAACATTGCATGAGTTCAAATGTGTTGGAAAACAAGTTTAAATTAAATTAAAGAAGTCACGAGAGTTATACCCAAAGCAGACACTATCATACCATTACGGCGGCGTTTAATTAGTAATTTCGGTCTAAAATCCCTAACATTTTGTTACAATGGAAAAACAGATGCGTAAGAGATTGGAGGTGTCGAAGTCGAAGGTGGTGGAATGGAAGGGGCAGAAGATGAGGTTATTAGGGAAGCAAGGCGTGGGATTCGGGAACTTGGCGGCGACGGCGGAGAATATGCAGCCAGGAAAGGAAATAAAGGCAGCCCAAGCCACAGAGCTGCTGGTGAAAGCCGCAAGCAACTGCTGTGGCCGACTCATCGACCGCTTCTGCTGCCTGTGCTTCATAAAGTCTTGCATGTATTTGAACGACCGCTGCGTTGTGGCCTTCACGCAACTCACCGCCGCTCTCGCCTGCTGCGAGATCTTCAACTGCTGCTTCGAATTATGTGAATGTGATTGCTTCTGAAATCTCAATCTTAATAACTAATCAATATTATTATATGTCTAAAGCTTCCTCAATTCAACTCGGTCATGTTGGAAAAATCATGTCCTTGTGTTTGTAAATTAAATCTAGTGTTGTTTTTTAGTTCAACAAGAGCTTATAACCATTATAGAGTTTTTTTTTGGTATGTGTTTAATTATGACATAAAAATTGTTCTTGCAAAGTATTTTTAGGGTGGTTTTGACTCAACCAAGTATTTGAATGAGAAATCATTTAAAAGCACTTTTAATAATTTAGAGTAAAGTATGTAGTGTAATAATGAGAGGACAATAAACTCACTCACGATCTAATAAAGGGCAAGTAGCTTGATTGGTTCGAATCCAAGTCGTAAGATGGCAGTAACAGTAACTACGACACCGGTTTTCGTTATTTTTCTGAGCCCCATGCCACGCTGTTATTTCGACTGGTTAAAATAGTTATCTCTAATTTAAGAGTCTTGACTTTAAATCTCATCCTCACATGTGCACTAAAAAAAATTAAAGTTAAACATCTACATGAATTGTTTACTAAAACTCTTAACTCCCAAATGTACTCTCTCTCTAACTTGCATGGTTTTGAATGTGACCAAAACCCTTGCGACAATCCACCGAATATCACATTTCCATATTAATTTGAATGAAGAAGTGAGTCGAATAGCTATTTTGAACCAATTTTAAAAGTGACGATTTAAAATAAAACTTTYGAAATAATAGAGATATTATTGTTGAAGCTTAGCTCAAGGTTTGCACAATTGAAATGATTTATTTTTCACAAATTTACTCATATTTTTATTTTCCTTTTAACAAATATAGTTGACGAAATGATATTTTAAAAATAATTTAAAGGCTGGGGATAGGATTAAAATAAATATAATTTTAAAGCAAGCATAGCTCAACTCACGTATATTTCTAACCAAAGGATCATGTTGTTCTCAAAGAAATAAAAACATGAATATAATTGAAACCAACCTCAAATTTGGTACAATTGATTATATATATTTTTTTAGTTGACAATCCTCCGGTTTCGCGTAAATTCCAAGTTACCGCGGTCTTCCCCCATTTTGTAGCGCGCTCTACTTTCCCGCCCTTCAACTCTTCTGCGAGTTTCGGTTATCTTTCTTGCGGCTTCTCAATATCGGCTTCACGAATCGCAGGTACTAGTTTCCATCGGTCATGGAGTAAATGAAGAAACAGAGGAGAAGAAACTGTATGATTATTAGTTTTTCATTCTTGAAATTACTGATTATTTGTAGAAACGGATTGTTTGACAAGCTAGCTGTAGCAGTAGGATTTTTSGAGAATAACTGTGTCAGTTTAAATTGAAATCTCTTAACTCATCTGTTGCTCTCCTGCCTGGCGATCTCGGAAGTTCTGAATCGGTTTTTTTGAGTTGACGCGAAATATGAGTTTAAATCTTGTGTTTATGTTGTGATTGGTATAATTGTTCTTGCAGTTTCGCTCCGGAAATGGCGATCCGCTTGGTTCTGGTCGGTCCGCGGTTTCTCTTTTTCTTCTTCCTGTTCGCTATCGCATTTTCTGGCGCGTAAGTAGTGCTATTGCTATGGCGTCTCGTTTTCTTCATTTTTGAAAATTTTCGATTATCTGACTGCTTAGTGCGCGGAAAGGAAATTTGTATCTGTCATCATCTTTGATAATCACGTCGTTTTCGTTTAATTTGAGATAGAAGCAAAGGTATGTTTGGTTCATAATGATCATCATTTTTTTATCTAATTCTTGCTAGATTATACGAATCGGACGTATATCCATTTCTACCGAAGGGAATTCTAGGAATGGTTGCAAATTTCTGGCAGCTTTAGATGATTCTGTTGAGCAATTTACGGGATATATATATATAAGGAAGTCCTGTTTGCAAATTTCTGTCAGTTTTAGATGATTCTGTTGAGCAATTTTCGGGATATATATGTATATTCTGCACCTTTAAATTTAGTGATATCAATTTCACTTATCTACTTTATCTGTTGGAGGACTTTTTTTTGGTAGTGCCGCCTTCTCTTGAAGATTCTGGTTCGGAGCATAAAATTGTTTTCTCCATTTCTGTTTATTATAATCAATTATAGTGATATTTGAAGTGACACTTTACTGATTAGTGATTATTTCTCTTTTATCTGTCTGACTGACATTTTTACTCATGGTATCTTATCGTTCTGTTTTTGAAGATCTTTTCTCATTTACACGATGAGGAATTCTTAAAATATTGGATGCCCTGATTTTAGGTTTGCAAGTAATGGGAATATGGTAACGGAGAAAACTTTGGCTATGATAAAACCAGATGGATTGCGTGGTAACTACACCAATAGAATTAAAAAGGCCATTGTGGAGTCAGGTTTTAGAATTTTGAAGGAAATTATTGTTGAATTGGATGAAGATAGAGCAAGTCGCTTTTATGCTGAACATTCGTCGAGAAACTTCTTTTCTGGTCTCGTCAAATACATGACAAGGTATATGTTGAATCTTTGAATTGTCGTCAAGTTTTCTTAACAAATCATCTTTTGCCTGATTTTTAAACGTTCCATGGTACTGTTGTATCAATACTGATATTGTACCTCACCGTCTTTGTTATTGCATTTTTAAGCCTGAATTTGAACTGCTTTCATTATGCATTAATTTGCTAGTAAGTGGTTGTTGTTATCCTTCTCACCCATGGAACTTGTGCAGCAATCAGACCACCATCTGCCTGCACTGAAACTAAAACGTGAAAATTCTGAAATTGCAAGATTTACTAATTCATGCAATTACTATTTTTCTTACTTTCTTTTCAAGTAATTTCAGTTAAGATATTAGCATAGCAACACAGAATTTCACATGTATCCCAAGCTTACCAGATGTTAGTCAGTGTGCTTCTCCACCTTGAGCCGTACTCTAATAGTTTAACTTAGTTGAAATGTGGGTCTATGTATGGCAGGAGACATTAAAAAACAATCTAGTAGACTTATGATCTGACATTTTTTGTCTAGCCTTATTATGTAATTAAACAAACATTAAATCTCTCTAGAATTGTGCGATCCTGTATTTCAGTTCTTGCATAATGGTGTTTTTCCTCTGTCTAACGTTACTCATCAGTGGCCCAGTATGCATTATGGTTTTGGAGAAACAAAATGCAATCGCAGATTGGCGTGCTATGATTGGGCCAACAGATGCTACGAAAGCTAAGGCTACACATCCCAATAGGTACTATAAATTTTTATCTTCGTCACTATATATACTTTGCCTACTGAAGTTTGAGACATGGATTCAATACCGATGTCAATACAGTTGCTACCGGTTCATTTGTAGTTTTGGTTTTCACTGGAGTCCTTTGCTTGATTTCAGCATTAGGGCAATGTGTGGCTTGGATTCAGAGAAAAATTGTGTTCATGGTTCAGATTCCCTTCAATCTGCTCAAAGAGAGATCTCATTTTTCTTTGAAGAGGAGACTGGTAAAATTTATCCCCGCTATCTCAAATATATAAATTGCATACTTCTATCTTTCCGTGCATGACCTATTATAGCGTTCACATCGTAGTACTTCAATATTTTTTACAGTCACATTTTATAGCGTTCACATATAGCTATCGATATCTGATAAAGTCATAATTCTATTGATGAAAGTAGAGGTTCCATATTGATTTATGTAGAGTTAAAATATATGTTGAACTTGATTTTTTGCCGTTTTAGAATGAGAAGTAAATTCTAGACAGGAAGGGGATGTGGGTGGAGAGCAACATAGAAGCTAGATTTACAAGCTATTTACGACAAAAGATGCATATTTTTAGTTTAAGCAATTCTTGTTCTGTTTCTAAAATGACAAAACAAAACATTCCTTTAGTTCTTCTCCCACAAGGCACGTCTTTCTTGGTCCTCAAAAGCGTACTTCTTCTGTGACTGTACTTTTGACAGGTGAAATGGTTGGAAAACATGATGAATTATAATCATTAAGCAGTCAGTGCATAAGCATGACTAGGTCCTTGTACAAGCCTCTTTAGTTTGATTAGTCTCAAATTCCAAAAGTGGATTGCTGCCACCCCCTCCCAATTTTCTTCTGGACGTTGGCAAGCCCATACTTTGTAATCGCACATGCTCATTCTGTACATTTGTGTGCCATTTGTGGACGTTTTATTTTCGCTCAGTGCCTGTATTAGAACCTGTCCTCCGATGAGCTGTTAGTTTTATTATCTTTCACTTTTAAAAATGTTGTTTTTCTTTCGACTACTAAATCCTCTACTACTAGGCGGATAGAACAATTGGTTTGGTAATGAAGCCTCCCGTGGCTGCTTTAGTTTATTATGTTTTAGGGACTGGGTCTCTTTATTTGTTTTATTGTTTTAGTTAATTAGAACATGTTGGATTGAGGGAAAATTTCCAGTACTCCCGTAGCATGGAAGAAATTAACAAAAAGGAAAGAGACAATCTCTTGAAGAAAGAAACTTTTATTTTGGAAATTACAAAAATAGACACTTTTGAGAGAAGGCTCTCTCACACTCACTTGCCTGCCTTACTTTTATAGCTTTCCTGATATGTGGCCAAGGGATTCTTGTGAAAAAACAAATAGATTTTTCTTGACCCCTCTTGAATTAAGTATCCTAAATACAATATATCTTTATTCAAAGGAATTCTCTAAAATCTTTTGGAGCCTAAGGAAAAATTTTAGATATTTCTGAAGTATCTTTTATATATGTATTGATAGTCTTCAAGAACAACCTAGTACCTAGAAAGACTTGTACATTTGAGAGAGATATATGGAGACTTTAAGACGGTTCTGGATAGTTAGTGTTGTATTTTATTTTACCACGTAGAATCTATCCTAAGGTGGATGTGAGAGAGAGATGGGTTGCAGTAAGATGTGAGTAAGGATTATTAGTGATCTGATGCTTGTAAAGGTAACCAAAAGAAATTAAGATTATTTCAGATGAGAAGATGATGTATTGTAGATTTTAATGAACTGTCTTAGGGGTGAAATTAAGCCATACGAATCAAGAGCAGTCAAGGACCAAAGACCATGACCGACCAGCCCACATTGCTCCACTGCACTGCAGCTGGGAAGCGAGTCGAAAGAAAACTCGTCTTCGACACCTTGTCTTCATTTCCGAAAAAAGCCATATGCCCTGTGCTCCTCCTGATTGCCCGTGCCACTATGCATTCTCCAAGAAGGTAGCGAAGAAATAGCTTGTGGTTCGGGGTCGGGTTGGATCGGGTCTTCTAGTTAATGGATCAGATTTTCAAGTGCCAGGCTTGTTCATGATAAAATAAAATAATAATTCAACCACATCTAATTTTATGAATATTAACCGATTTCTTGGATTTAGTTGAAAAATATTAATATTTTAACTGTAAATTTGTTCATTTTAAATTATTTTTTAAGATGAAATTAATAATTGAAATATTTTAAATATGTTAAAATCCTATGTAATTTTAAAAAAAGTTTATATATATATATATATATTTATTATATATATAGTTGTGGTGTTCATACCCTACTTGAGAACCTGTTTGAATTAACAAGTTTTTAAAAAACCTTTTTATTTTTATTTTTATTTTTATTAAGTTCTTATAAACCGATCATCTATAAAAATAAGTGTGAACAATAAACCAGAAAACAAGTGAAAGGTTATTGTGATTTAGTAGACTCTCACACTTTTGGATTAGGCTGTAATGTGATTCGGTGCAAACTGTAAATTAGTATGGCATCGCTTTTGTGCCCCTTGGTCTATTTGCCATAAGCCTGAAGATTGATTGTTACGGTATTCTCGTAGCAAATTGAGATATGATAGTTTTCCCATTCATTTGGAGAGACGCTTTTTAGATTCACAACAAATAGTGAATAGACATAAAAGTTTTGAGAAAACGAGCACCAAAGAAAGCCTTGATATTGATGAATACAAAACGATCAAACCAATATTCCAGAAATTTACCTTGAAAAACTTTGAGAGAATTATCTTGGAGGTATTAATCTAAATCTTTGATTTTGTTGGAAGAGTTGGAAGAGTCAGACTACAAAGAAGATGCTGAATATTTGAACTTGGATTCTCACCAAAGACCCAACACATATATTAATTTGATCAATGAGAGTGCTCCAGCAATGAGAAGATGATTTTGATCTTCTGAAGACAGCAAGCACAAAGTACTAATTGAGGGAGCTTTCTTTGAAGCCTAACCTATGTGTTGAGACCACCACAGAGCAAATTCCATTTAAGAAACTTATTATTTTTGGACTTTTGATTGATTTCCGAACTGCGTTAAATAAAGAGGAAGGCATTGGAGAACCCTATGTAAGTTTTTGGAACATAGACTTAACAATTGAAGGAACCCGATGAATGAAGCAGGACAACAGTACCCCAAGTAACTCATCCTCCTTTAAATTTCTTCTCAAAATAGTATTATAAGAATGGTTGGAGGAATCCCAAAACTCAGAGATTCAACCGTTTGGATTGGAGATAATCTTGAGGATTGATGGAAAGGTAGTCATTAACAGAGTGGAACCAATCCATAAATCTTTCCAGAAATTGATTCTATTACCGCTACCCAATTTGAATGAAGAAAGGGAATCAACAAGCCTTGAAGTTTGCTTAATGCTCAGCCAAGGACTTCTACAACTGCTGCCTTTTCTGATAAAAAAATAAATTAAAAAAGAAGAAAAAACAAGGAAAGAAAAAAATTAACACAAGAATTTATACAAATTCAATTATTTAGTGGGCTAAATCCTATTTAAAACTTCACAGATTCCGCTGTAAAGTTGAGAATTTTTACACTTTCTCAAACTCATGTCTCTCCTTTAAGAAACTTTTTTACAAAATGCTCTCAAGCGGCCTACAACCAAATGCCCATTAAATTACACCCAAAAGAAACTATCACATATCCTTGTTATCACCATGCATAACACTTCTGCTCTGCATCTATTAATTAGCATGCTTAATTTTGTTAACTTATTAGCCTCCTTAGTGAGATTGTTAAATATGCTGGGAAGGAAAGTGTTATCAAGTCATTTGGAGAGTGACCATTTCTTGGAACTTTTCTCTTTTTGTAAACCATAATCTTGCTAACATTTTATATGTTCTCTTATGATAATTGAAAGGTCGAATTCATAGATCTTAAGTTGAAGCAAGAATTTTGTTTACTCCCATCTGTTTGTGTCTGTGGGGCAAATTGGGAAGACTTAAGCCATCTCTTCTTCTTTCATTGTTCCTATGTTGTTCATGGATGGTCTTCTATCTTCTCTCAATTCCAAGTAGACTGGGTTTTCGATTATAAGGCAGAAGATATTGCTTTTTGGGATTCTTCATCCTTCATCTATGGTTCGGATTTTGTAGATTAATGCAATGAAAAGTTTTCTTTCGGAGTTATGGTTCGAGAGAAATTTGAGGATCTTCGAAGGAAAACATGGTTCCGTGCTTGATTGTCTTAATTCCACTAAGTTCAAGGCTTCTTATTGGTGTTTTTTCGTTGATTCCTTTTCTAATTATTCTCCTGTTCTTAATTATTCTCCTGTTCTTATTTTTTATAATTGGGGTGCTTTTACTAGTCTTTTGTAGTTTTGAATTACTTTTTATTATTTCACAAGTTGGTATCTTTGAAAAAATTTATTCCTTTTTTATCACATCAATGAAAAGTCAGTAGCTTATTCAAAAAACAAAAATAGGGTGATTCGCACCGCGGCGGGTCTTAATTCCTGGTTTCTGAACTATTTCTCCAGTTGCTTTTGGTCTTCAGTTTGATGTGATTTTGGCTTCAACTAAGTATCATCTCGTCTTGGGCTTTTTTACGACCCGTTGTCAATTCCCAATACTAAATCATATTAACGTTTTAGCATCGATCAGATATATTCTTGTTTTGGCCATGGAAGTGACAGATTTCCTTACGCTGTTTAGTTCTTTGGCCATTACTATCAGCTCCGTCCTCGGGATCATAAGCAGATACAAATTTCCTTTCCTATCATGGGCCAGGAACAGGATAGGGATGGAATACAAGGGCCAAGTGAAGAGCCAGGAACTGAGGATCTATTCTCTGCCCAAGGGACACTACCCTCATAATTCTTCATACAATTTTAGAGTCAAGATACTCTTAACGCTTTTTGCCCCCAATTCAGCTAGAAGTTTCTATTTGATTAAAAGAAGATATAATGAAAAGCGAGGTAGTCAAACCATTGGATGATACAAGGCCACGCAATACCAAGTCTTAGTTTATGGTTTTGGTTGCCAACCACAATATTTGCCTTCCACAATTAGGAAGTCTAGCAGATCGTTTCTCCTTTTAGCTTGTGTTTGTAAACCCTAGACATCTACTAGATGCATCCCTCACATGGTTTCTTATCTTTCCTTTAAAATAAGCTGTGTCTCGGTTGGAGTAATTCTTTTCTCACTCCTCCGATCGCTTTATTTTATTCCAAAAATTGTTTAATTTTCTTTTCCTTCTCCTTTTCCCTGCATCTCGAGGAACTTTTGAGGGATGAGACTAAAATGACGAACCTAGTGACGCTTGTGATGTTGAGATATTTAAGCGTCGGATATTTTTTTTGATAAGTTTGGTCACGGAGTTCGTCATCTCGAATATTTTCAGTATTTTGCCCTCTCTTTATTACTCTGAATCCTTTTTGATCTATCAACCTTACTCCATGGCGGTACGTTTATGAACTTAAATTGGTTTTTTTCCCCTTTATTTTAGAATATAGCATGGAATATGGGTGATTGAGATTCAAAATTTCAACCCATAAGGCTAATTACGGATTGGATTGGATTGTGCTATATTTTAAAAAAGTTTAATTGAATTTGATTGAATAATTTTTAAATTCTTTTATTTCTTGATGGCATTCTGCATCCTGATGGGACACGACAGAGTGTTTTAAACCAAGTATCTAAACAGTAAGCAGTACAGTGGTAAGGATTTTTTAAGGCACTTGGTAATAGTATAAGATATTATAGGTATTGGTAACGGTAATATCCTATAATGTTAGAGGGAGAGCTTGTGGCTGGAATTGAAAGGCGAGTACCGCTTTACTATTCTGTTGAATGAAACGTGGAGAGATCCGAGAGTTGGCTTAATTGGTTTGTGGCATCTTTTAAGGAGCAAAGGCTCCGAGGAAGGAATAAAAAAACTATAGAATTTTTCAAACCACCCGGTTGGTACGACTACGGATTATTCATTATGTGATTGACTTTGTCGTGACACGTGGCCAAAAGGTCTCAAATGGGCCACTTGATGGGTGATATTTTCGGGGGTTTGATGTGGGTCCACTGTCGAAACTGGAAAAAATCCTAGCAAAGTATCTAAAGACGTTTGGATATGCAAAGTCTAGGAATGAAAAGGCTTGCGAAAGAGATTTTTAGTTTGATGCTTGTATTTGAGAATAATATATAACACTAGAAATAAGTTGTCCGGTTATGGAATGTTCGGAAATGAATTTGTGATATAACTCTGTTTGCAGACCAAACACCACATTCTCTTGGATGATATATGTTAGGATCATAAACTTATCCATAAATAGACTTGGTTCAAGTTTAAGTTGAAGTGTGTGGGAGGAAGATTAGTTGCGCCCAAGTGATGAGGCACTTGAAGGCACATAGCCATTAGAAGGTGTTGCATGACCATTGTGGTACCACAACACAATTTTGCCCCATAACGTTGCACGAGTGTCATGGCACTGGAATAAGCTTGATTTTTCAACCTATAAATAGAGGTATGAAACAACCTCTTAAGTGGAGAATCATGGGTATTTAAGTTGACAACTTGTAAGAGTTGCCTGATTCGAGTGGGGAGAAAATGTGTGAGACATTCCCATGAAATTATGTGAGATCTATATTGTTCTTCCTTATTGTAATATAGATTCCCTACAATAATGATTTGGAAAATTTTGGTCGAAATTGAAGATAAGCCGACCAGTCACATATGTGCTATTCATTGTTCTTTAATAGCATTGTTTAACTTTATGGAGAATAATTCCTACATTCTTTATACTGTTGTGCCTTTCATATGGCCCTTATAGATTACAGTATTCATCCAATGACTACAATGAGGAATAAGTGATTGATTTGTGGTAATGACTTGAGGAGCAAGTCCAGGAGTCGCGTGTACCTGGACACCATGCTCCTTAAAACTCAACCTCCTATCAAGTGGACCAATTTTTAATTTCTACACCGAAGCCTTTCTCTTTTCTGTTTACTAGATCTTACCATGTGTCTGAGCACTACAAGAAACTTTATGCATTCATTTGTGTGGTTCTACATAATTATTGGTTTGGAGGTAGTTGGTTTACATAGCTGAGTGATTTATTTTATATAAATTTTAACATGTTTACATGATCAGTAGCAAACCCTCAGATTCAATTAGGGGCCATGGTTTCAGTTTTGTGGGTCGTATCATCTTTTAGATTTTGGAATATGGTATCATTGAAATGATGTTTTTAGAAGTATTATATTACCTTATTCACTCCCTCACCAAGAACTGAATATTATCACATTTGTTTCATTACATATTTTTTGTAATAATTATAAATATTTCTTATTTCCAAAAAAATATTAACCTTTTGGTATTAGAGGTAAAGAATATTCATGTGCTTTAGTTAAAAGTTGGGGGAGATAAATGTGTAATTAGCGAGAAATTGATGAAGAAAATGTACACTGAGAAGAGAATTTGTGGGAGACATGAGTAAGTTAGTGATGGAAAGTGTATAAGGGTGTGAGAGAAAGGGGTAAAGAGACGTTTGGTCAATTAGTATAGGAAACTTAACGAGAGACTGTATTTGCATAGATAGATTACTACTTAAATAAAGTATGGAGAGAATTAATTTGAAAGAAAATGTATAAAAAGAGGTTAATTAGACAGTGAGATATAATGTGTAARAGGTTACATTACAAATGTGTGGAAGATTTGAAATATGAAGTTAGGTATCTAAGTTTGACTACTTGAGCTACATTCAAGTAAATGAAACTGTGTATGTTTTTTTAGTACAACATGTGGGGGTTGGGATCAAATTCACCACCTCTTGRTTGGAGATATATGTCAATTACTGTTGAGTTATGCTCACTTTAGCATGAAATTGTGTTTGTTATTGTGTATGTTAGGAAGTTTTTTTTTTCATCTTTTAGTACAACAATTTTAGAGATGGGAGATTGAACTTCCGAAAAGAAATAGTTAGTCATAACTGCTGAGTTAAGCTCATGTTGGCAGAGTAGGTCAAGAAGTTAGGAAACATAAAAGCCAAAATATGTAGGTGAAGAGTGGTTAATAAGAAAAGGTAGTATATAAAAAGAAGTGAGAGAATAGTTTTATTTTGTTTGGAAAAAACAAGTAATATGTGAGAATAAAGTACATCTAAATCATAGAGTAATTTTTATTGAGTTTTCAAATGGATTTGGTTTCTTTATTAAACGTGCGATGAAAAATGAACGGTAAAGACTAAAATAATTTTTTATATGGAAAATTCAGGGATTGAAACTGGAAAATTTAGAAAGAATATTTAAGATATCAGAGAGTAAAATAAAATAAATATTAAAAAGAAAGATCCAAAGATACATCCTTCAAGAAGAACCCTAAATCGAGGAATTTCCTTGGCACGAGTTTTGGGGTTTTCCAAATGCGGAAATCTTGAATTCGTCCAGTTTTCAGAAAATGTTGCCATAAATGTTTTCCCACGAGCCATGAGGCGGACTCTACAGCTTTCTTAGGAAAATGGTAAAAAATGTAATATTATCAATTTCTCGGAAAATGATGCCAAACGTCTTCGAATTCCCTATTGGGTGAATATTTTATAAAGTACTTGGAGGAGAGGATTTGAAATTGTAAACTAGATCTTGCTAGACTTTTACCGTAGCATATCATGAACCAAATCCAGAAGAAGACAAAAAATTGTTTTTTATTCTTGAAGTATAGAATTTTTTCTTGACCCGAATCTAATTGAAAAATATGATTGTGTGTATACCTGAGTAGAAACAGTTCACTTTGTGTCATCCTTATCGTTCGGAGCAACAACGAAACAGCAAACTCTTTGACAATATGTGCAAGAAGAAATCAGCTCACTGAAGTGTGACCAGAAGAAAATTTAAACTGGGTAAATCGCGCCTTCAGCGCTGATGCTCTTCTTAGAGGACTTTTTTAGTTTTGCCTTTTGTTCTCTGTTTTCTTTCTATACTAAAAAACCATGGTGCCACATGTCAGCCATATTGGTTGCCACGTAAGAAGTTCTAAAACTAATAAAAGGCTAAATTTAGGCTTTCGTTGGAAGTTTAGAGCATAGGTATAGAGGCTAAAATAGAATAAGTTCTAAAAGTTTTATAGATCCTAAAGAATTAAATGAGAGTTTAATTGTTTTTCTTTAATCAATGAAGTGTTGGATATTATTCAAAATTACACTGGTCAAAATCTGAAGTTTGTTTTTGTTTTTAACTGGAAAGATCTGAATCTAAATGAAAATTATAAATCATAAAAAATTGGGGGCTAGGGGTATTGAAGGTTATCATAATGCTTTCTACTCATTTGAAATCATGTATATTACTGACACAAATTTGATCCCAATCCCATCATAATGTACAATGAGAGTTTTTAGGTTTCTTTGAAATTTCTGATATGTTGATATACTTATGTGCATGTGGGTTTTATTTTTTACCAATATAATGTTTAAAATAACTACAGTAATAAACTATTATTGTTGGGTTTCATTTTGAGAGTTTGCATTAGTGCCAAGTTGCCTTTATTTATGATTGGTCAGCGGAACAGTCACCCCTGAATGGTGAATGCCCACCTCGTGTAATTATCATTACCATTAGATTAAAGACGGTATAGGTATAGGGATCAACTCCACCTTTTCTACTTAGCAGTTGTCTTAGGATTTGCATCTCAAGATCTGACGGACCAAATTCTGACACGKTCGGTTGTATAGCGGATGTTCCAGAATTGAACCCGCAGAATCCTCCTTTTGTAGTCTTATTAAATTACAGGGAATTAAATAATTCAATTTTATAGAGAATGTTTTTCATGCTAGTGGTGTATGTGCATTTGAGGTCTATAAGAGCAAGAATCAGCAAGAATTTTCAGGAGGAGAGCTCAGAGTGGGAACTGTTTGGGAACTTGAACCAATTAGCTTGCTGTGACTGAGCTTCAGCTTGAAACTCGCCAAAATTCTACATTTATTTTGATCATCCCAATACCACCTCGCCATTGGCTTTTAAGATCTGGTTCTGAACTTCTCAGTTTTGCAGACATCCCATAGCCACCGCCACCTCCCTCCCCAATATTATTTCCAGTCCACACAACTTCAAGTTGTATCGTTAGTAGAAGATGAAGGTGAGCTTTTCCTATGTCATAGTATCTTTTTAGCTCAAAAACTCTATTGGTTATGAATTGCTACATCCATGCTGTGTAGTTTGATGGAAGCTTGATTYTCTTTTCCGTTTCTTGAATGCAGTTCTTCGGCTGGATGCAGACCAAACTCAATGGYAGACACGAGAAGAAAATCCCAGATACATTCTCTGCTTCTCGTAAGCTTTCTTCTCCTTTTTGCACCACTTTTTCCTGTGTGCTATGACTTCTTTTCTCTCTGTTTCCAAACTGGTGTGTGTGTGGAATCAGTACTAGAAATATCCACTCCGCCACTTGCATGGATGAGCTCTAGCTGATAGGAGAGAGTTAGGAGTTATAATATTGAATCTTTTTTCATATTCAAGCAGAGGTTGGAATTTGGATGGATTAATTGTTTAATAAAGGGACAATGGTGTGGAAAATAGATTCAGTGAAATGGTTTTGGTTGGATCCGAAATTTAGTAAGCTGGATCAAGAATCCCAATGCAAACGGGGACATGATTCAAAAGGTAACCTGAATCACCAACCCGCAGACTTGGGTCCATGTGCTTGGTTCCTTCCACCCTTTAAACAAATATTTAATATAATACAATATTTACCATTCTTTTACATTCCCTCTTTTGTCCACATTCTTCCTTAGCTTAGCTTTTTAAGGGTGCAAATTAACCGCGAATCAGATCCCAGCACTTATGACACACATATATATTTATATATTCTTATTTCATAGGGCAATGTAATGGATCTCTGAAATTGCCTAGTATTGCATTTTTATATAATTTTAAGGAAGAAACTTGGTTCTGCATAAATTGAATATGTTCCGTCTCCCATTTTGCAGAGCACAAAAAACAAGAGTCTCGCGAAGAGTTCAGCGATTGGCCTCATGGGTTGCTGGCCATTGGAACTTTTGGCAACAATGAGATTAAAGATGATTCTGAGAGACAAGATATAGAGGAGGAGGAGCCATCTTCTTCAGAAGAGATAGTGGATTTCTCCCCTGAAGAAGTTGGTAAATTACAGAAAGAGTTGACGAAGCTTCTATCTCGGAAACCGAATGCCGAAAAGCAGGTTGCAGATCTGCCATTAGACAGATTTCTCAACTGTCCCTCAAGCTTGGAGGTCGACAGGAGAATCAGCAACCCGCTTTGCAGTGATTCTTCAGATGACAAAGATGAAGATATTGAAAGAACCATTAGTCTCATCATTGGTAAATGCAAGGACATTTGTGCCGATAGTAAAAAGAAAGCCCTCGGGAAGAAATCGATCTCGTTTCTGCTGAAAAAGTTGTTTGTTTGTGGARATGGCTTCACTCCTGTACCACCACCGCCACCACCAAGTTTGAGAGAAACTCTACAAGAGTCGAGAATGGAAAAGGTACTTTACATTACATACTAAAAAACCTCTTCTACTCACTCGTTACTAAATATCAGCTTCTGAATCTGATGATCTTCCATTTCAATGGCAGCTTTTGAGGACCATTCTCCTAAAGAAGATCTCCCCACAAAATTCCTCTCGATCATCATCACTTAAGAGATACATCGAGGACAAACACTCGGCAAAAAACCGAAACCATGGAGAAGAAGAGCACAAAAATGCTAAAGATGGATCCAAATGGGTCAAGACTGATTCCGAGTGTAAGTTCATAACTTTTATAYGTACACAAATTCAGCTGCTCAATATCATAAATTTTTAGCTTTTTAACAAGTCCTTGTTTGGAAATTGCAGATATTGTTCTCGAGATATAATTCTGTCTCCTGTTCTAATCAATTGGCCATCTAACTGATTAGAAGAAGGTAACTCTCGCTTSTTTCTGGCCTCTGTTCTTCAGTATCTATTTTTTTTTTTCCTTTTTTACGCAGCAAATTACTGATCATGTCAAGAAAAAAAATAACTTTTTGCAGATATTGAAACTCCAGCCTTTGATTTGAAATAGTTGAGATGAGCAAATACAAGTATAAAGATCCTTATTGACGATGGTTACTCTCCTTTTGTGTTTTTTCATGGTGTTGTTTGTATGGAAACAGTGCAACTCATGTTATGATTCATCGTCAAAAGAGATTCTATGATTTGATCACAGGGCTTTACATTTTTTTTTTTTGTTCTTCTTGATGTTTTGGGGTCTCACTATTGTAACATATTTGAGGCAAATAGCATTTTGTATGGTTATAAAGTTGTCAAAGACATTATTGCTTTTGGGTTTCTTTTCATCTTTTTTTTCTATATAATATTATATCACGATCTACTAAATAATAGAGATCTAAACCTACAAATACTTTTAAAAGAGGTAGAGATTTCTAAACTATGAGAAACAATCAATGTTCGATGATTTGAAATGTCAAATTGATATATGTTCATGTCAGCTAATGATTTGATACTTCCACAAAATATTTGAGTCAAACAAATCCAATAAAATTATCTATATTGTTACTAAAAATGATTCATTAATTTCTTTTTTAGGAACATCTTTTTTATCTATTAGATCAATTGCTAAGGAATTCGAAAGTTTAATTTCGTAATTGGGTGATTATACCAACTCAAATTCAAACTAGAGAATATTAAAATCATGAACCAAACATTTTACATTCAAAAACTCCAATTCTAATTTCTCTACTCTAATAATTGTTTTTTTTCCTTTTTTTGATAAAAATAAAATAAAGCCCTATCTTACCTAACCGAAGTATGGGATGAATCGTAAGTACCAACGAAAAACCAAATCCGAAGCAACACAGCAGCAGCTGGAGGTTCAATCTTCTGGGCTTCCGCCACGTTCTACAAAGCCCTAACTCTTTTCAATTTTCTCACTTTTTCTTCCGATTTTTCCTTCGATTTCCATCTTCTTCCCTCTATCTCTACTCTCTAACAAATTGGATCTGCGCGCTTCTTTCCCTTTTCCGATTCGGTTCTGTTCGCATTTCTAAACCTACTTTGTTAGAGCCGCAGAACTGCGTCCGTTGATCCTTTGCTCTTAGTTTTTTTCGAAGATTGTTTCTTTCCCGAAATTCTCCAAGGATTTTGAGGGATTTGGGTCGAAGTTTGGCCAGCCAATGCTATTTATTTTGCCTCCACTAAGAACAAGTTTTCGGTGATTTTTTTTATATATACCGGAAAATTGTTGGGTTCGTCGATGTCTTGGGCAAGCGCGGAAGATATCTACCTTTCAACTTCTCTTGCTAATTACCTTGACAGTATGTTGCTTCTCTTCTAATCCCATGCATCTGTCTGTGTAGTTTGGATTATTAACATTCGCTTCAGTTCTGTTTGTTGATTCAACGAGAAAGTAGAAAACAATACTCGTTTTTCTTTACTTGATTATTCATGGGTATTGCTGTTTTTGTGGAATGTGATCTTGTTCATAGGGTTTTACCATCCCACTGTTTTGCACTGCAACTCGTTGACTGAGAATGCTTTCTGATTCGATTGTTTTTTTTTTTTCTTCTTCTTTTTCCAAGAGTAGTGCTGTAACCTTTCGGAGACGTTGCTCATTGCATAATAGTGGTCTGTTGACTGATTGTAATTGATCTGTAGATGCAAGATAAAATCTTGAAATATAAGTGTTATTCTTACAATTTTTTATTTTCAATCAATGTTTCTTAGAACACTATAAAGGGACTTGCTTTTGTTTACCTAGATTTGAGGCATGCCCAACATGTCACCAAATGAAGTGAAGCTTATTTTTCTAATCGGGAGAGAAGAGTATATAGACATATGAAAATAAATCATAATGCAGCAATGGCTCGAAATACTTGAATTAACATCAATTTATCTTTTCTGGTCAAATGTACTTTGAAGAAAGCTAAGCAAAAATATGTTTTTATTTGGTGAATGGCTTTGATTCCCTCTTTTTTCAAGAGATGGACTGGTAGAGCACTTCTCCCTGAAATTGTACTTCAGAAATCTGAAAACTCTCTCTTTCACTAAGGTATCCATGATATGACCAAGGTGACACCTCTTTGGGAGAGCTTGCCATGGTCAATCTGTTATAGCATGGGTGATGGGTCTCTCTTCACTTCACCTATTACCATATGCAATTGTCTAGCTCTGCCTTAAAAACCTTTGTTTCAACTATGGTTTCAACATAATCAAATAGAAGAAAAGATAGATGACAATTTGCCATTGTTTCTGTGGATTGTATATATATATATATTTGAGTGGGGATTCGAACCTCCAGCCTTTAGAGAGCTAATGAGCTATGCTCATGTCGGCATATGGATAATATATTCCTAGAACTTGTGTAGCTATCAGCACAGATAATCCCAGTACCAAATGCTGAAGGCTGTTGTACAGCTACCTGCCAAATGGTTATTTAGTAGTAGAATGCTGTGAAAGAATTGAGAACAGGATGAGAGATTGCTTTAATTGTTCCTACATTTCACCAATTGGGTGATTGAAGAAATTCAGAAAACCATATTATTTAGAGATTTCAGCAAGTATGCATTCATAAAATTATTTAGAAAAGGATTCATATTTGCTACTAATGGCATGACAATTTGGGAATTTCTTTATATTAGATATAGTTGCAATTATTCACTTAAATCGTGCATCAGTATTTTTTTTTTCTCTTACATTAGTAGAGTTGTTGTTCTAATGATAATTTCATGCTATAGAGAAGGTTCTTGTACTACTTCGAGATGGTCGAAAGCTATTAGG